TCCCCCCTCCCCCCCCAATTCTTTTTCTCTGTGTTCAATTTCCCGTTCCTTATGTCTTTCATTGTGCGCGAGTACTATTACAAAACGGTTTATTTCGTTGCGAGCGAAACGTTCCTTAGTAATTACATACGAAAGCCGACAAATGCGCGTCGTTGACGAGGCGCGGAACGTCGCCTCGCGTTTGTTACAGACAGCGGTGCCGTTCGGTTCGGGACGAGCGCAGCTCGCGTGTTCGCATAAAAGTCATCGCAGATGTTTCTTCCTTTTCAGCGATGCATTTTCGCGAACGCGCACGCAACGCGGCGGTTCGCCGCGACCGGACCTGTTGCAGCTGCAACACGAAAGACGATACGCGGGCTCGATTCTCGCGACGCGGCCGACGACGTGTGGAAGCCTTTTCACTTTACTACTCGCGTTTCCTTGAGCGTTTCCTCGCCTCTCGAACGCGCCTTGCCTCGTGTTACGGCCGTGTGTGTGTGTGTGTGTGTGTGTGTTTGTGTGTGTGTGTGTCGCCGCCAGTTGGTTCGTCGACATTTTTATTATTCCGCCGGCCGACGACGGTTCGACGCACCGCGCCGATTATGCAAACGCGACACCGTATTCGCAGCTTTTTTTCTTACGTACGCACGCAGGAAAAAAGAAACGGTGATCGCCGCCGACGGGAAGGCCACCGTTTAATAACGCGCGGACGCGTCGCGCGCAGTCAAAGTTCAGTGTCGGATTTCCGAAGAAGAGAGCGGGTATCGTAACGCGAGATCCGAGAAATCCTTTTACGTAGCAGATATAGTATAAGGTACCCGAGAACTTCCGAAATAGTTACTTCAGCCACGTTCGCGTAATCCGGTATAAATATATTGGAAACGATAACGCGCGTCGTAATTAAACCGAAATAACAGACTGTATCTAACGTGAAAATTCCATGCCGCGTTTTTCATTATTCAGATAGAATCACGGTCATTAAATCACGCGATCGTAACTTCGCAGACGGTACACGAAATACTTTGACGAGCGCGCGTGTCCTCCCTCCTCCTCCTTCCGAAGAGAAGTTAATACCACCGTTCCCTCAAGTAAAGCTGCGTAGTCAGCCTCGAGAACTTATCGAGCGTTAAATAATTGAGGAAAGGTCGATGTCGTGGTCCGTCGACGTCGTGCTCGTGTGCTATGAGTAACCGCCAAAAGTAAAAACGCCGATAAAAATTTCCCCGAGCTCTCGTCCCGTCGCCACTTGATTTAATTATTCGGATTTCGCGTCGCTTACTTTTGCGCATCGCGTGCTTGCTTAACTTCGAGCGTCAGGTCGGAGGGTTAACGATAATTGGAAAAAACAAAGCATTTATCGACGGTGCTTTATCGCGTCGCGCCGTTATATAGGTGACCACGGCCCGGGTCTGCATGCATATATATATATATATATATATACAATAAACTGCCTGCTCTCGCTTATTATTACACTCTCGATGGAGCTGTCGGTGAGCGGAATTATTCATCGTCCTCCTCGGTTAACGAGGGTCAGGATTATCAAGCGAATCCGAAGAACCTTGAACCGCTCTCGGGATGGAAAAGTCATCGGGCGCAACGCAAAGTTACGACGACGAAAACAAATTCATATTTATAGGCGCGGATCTCTGTTTTTTCTCTCTCTCTCTCTCTCTCTCTCTCTCTCTTCTTTTCGGATAAATCTTTATCGTTCACGCGCTCGCTTCCTTCTCCTTCCCCGACGGAGAAACGCGACGAGAAGAGCGCGGTAATTATTTTTGCAGTGGCCGCCGCGAAACGCCGCACGATGAGATGCACGAGGGGATATTCAAACGAGTTTGTTCGCCTCCTATTGAAGTCCGAGAAGATTCAGCCGCAATCGAAACGCCGATTATCCGCGAGCGCGAGCGCATATACATCTCTCGAATAAAATCGCCGCGCGCGTGCGCGCCCGTCAAGGACCAAATTTACATGACAAATAGCGAGCGAAGGTCTTACGCGAGGAGGTCTTACTTCGTTAGACTTCTCTTGGAATACGCATACTTCCCACGAGCGTGTAACTTTGAAGCGATCTTCCGTGCAGGTATCTCGCGATGGATAGCGCAATAAATTGTTCCTCAACCCTTTTCGCTCCGGAGCTCCTTCACTTCAAAGTGGAAAGGTGTACGGAGAATAGTCAAGTGGAAGTCAAGCGAGATTATTCGTTCGGCCGGCAAGTGTCGTTAACTAACGAGTTCCCGATTACGTGACGATACGGAAATGACGAAACTTACCTGTAGACGCCGTAGTGCTTGCCGCTCGCACGGTCGCCGCAGATCGAACACAGATGCTTGCTGCCCGACAAGGGGTGATTAGGCGGATAAGGCGTTTTGCTCTGGCCGCTGGGCGATGTACTCAGCAGGATGGTATTGAAGGATCTTCTCATGCAAAGCAGAGAACGATCGTCCGTGAGATTTACGCCGCTATGACCGTAGAACGCACATTTCGAAATGAAATTCCAATTTATAGACCGCGTAGTAATGCGCTCTTAAAATCTCAGGAAAGCGCGACGAGTCTTATCGCGGTAACGCTTGCATGTAATTCTTTCATTAGAGTTTTTTTTTATCGAGATCGTTCAAATAAATTCGAATCGAGTTTAATTTTGCATTAATATTCACACATACAAATGAATGAAAACGTTATGTAAGAATATTTACCCCGGACTGTTGGGACCCGATGGGCTGAAGTTCCCCGGATTGATAAGAGCCGTGTCGGGCTTCATGTCGGGAGGACTCTGCGGGCCCACCGACGACATCGACATATTGCTGTTATCCAAATTCAGCCCTGGAACATGAAAAAAAAAGATCGAATTTAATATTTTTCAATTTCCTTTTCACCTTGCATTTATTTCACTGATATTCATATTCGTTTCATATTCGGCGCGTCACTCCTCCGTCTCGAAGTCTTTTCGGGCAATCGCCTAACCGATCGCGCGCGATAAAGAGAAAGAAATCGCCATCGACGCAAATCGCATGGGCGCAAATCCCGATGTTGCGTGAGTGGCGCATCTATTACGCGATCGGCGCTTCGCGGCAGGTGTATCCTTTCTAAAGCGGTGAAAGGGCGAGAGGATCAGCTGGCTGCAGGCGCCTTTTCCGCGTCTTCCGCGTCCTTCGGCATTCCTCTCGCAGCGAGGACGGGACGACGACGCCTCTCGACAGCGAACGCCACCGGCGGTGCCGATCGGCGATTTACAGTTACACGGCAAGAGATGTAAATTGCCGGAGTTCGCCTTCGATTGATCGACGCTTCCCTCGCGAAGAAAGTTTCTTCGCGTTCGCCGCGAGAGACGGATAGGAGCGGATTCTGCCTCTCGAAGGTCGAAGCGAAATTACGCGATCACGTGACGCGTGCAAAGCGCCAATGGTCGCAGGTACGAAGGCACTTATTTTTATCCCTAAACGTGTTGAGTTTCGTCCGCCTCGAGTAAACTTTCATTATCCGAGAATTCCTGTCGCGGGGACTCCTCTGCTCCTCGGCATCGCGTGAACGCGAATTCTTTCCCTCGCGGGAGAGACGGAGAGGAGAGATTGCACTTTACGTGCCGATAATATCTCCGTTATTACAAGCGTAGTAATACATCATTTAATCGATGAATTGAATATTTATTATCTATTTAATCGAGGGAAACTTAGGAATTTATGAGTTTAAAAGTAGCGGCGGACTTTGATATTCGTAGATCCTCTCCGGATAAGGAGTGTCTAATGGAATGAAGACGCCACGGTGGCTCGACGGTTAGCAGAAGGATTTATGAACACGGGAATCTATCGTCGGGACAATATGAATTGAGTCGTCCGAGTGCGTCGCGTAGCCATTCGTGATTCATAAAAGCGAAGACGTGGGAAGTGAAAAATTACAAGATTTAAAATGCCTGCCAATTTCTTCTAGACCCGCGTGCGACATTTATTCGCTTTAAATGTCTGGAGGGATTTGTCCCCGTAACGCCGCAGAGGACCCTCGAGAGTGAGAGTTTGATGGAAACAAATGCCCGAGGGGGCGAGAAACCCATGCGAACGAGGGGGGAATCCCTGTGAAAGTGGTCGTCTACATAAAAGAAGCCCGGTGGTTTCACGCGACTGAGAATGCACGCGGTTTTACCGTACGTTTGTATTTTCGGGGCTCATTTCGCCGGCGTGCGAGATTGCCCGGATAAACGAGTCCTGCAACAAAGTCTCTCTCGCGGAGAAACACGAAATCCACGGAATACACGGGGATGAATGAGACGACGCTAATTTCGCGACCATTGTATTGTCAATTTCGGCCACGAAGAAGTCTGGCGGAATTACGGGGAGTATTGATCCCCACGATACCCACGTTTCCCTCCGTGCCGGCTCTCCCTCGAGTGTTTATCGGCCGTCTCGGCGGTCGTCTCTTCTTGCCTCTTTACCCTCCGCAGTGTAGATTCATCCTCCCCAGAGGGGATGAGAGAAAGTGAGAGATCCTTTCTCCGTGGCACAAAAAACCCAATCCATTTTTGCGCCCGGCCCGGCGCATGTTCCCTTTAACGGGCGGCGAAGTGATCGATGGGGGTTTACATTTTCGCGAAGGAAGAAAAAAAAAAGAATCCTCCCCCGGAGAATTCGCGTCGCTTATTACTAACAACGTCCTTTCGGACGTCAAGCGATTCTGAAATCGTCTCGGCTCTCTTTAACGTGGCGTGGCACAGATATCGACAATAAAGATAGAAAATTGATTATACGTTGAAAATAGCGTGCTCCTGATGCTAGTTGCAAGCTGAACTAACCGATACAGGCGCTCGCTGATCCTCTGCATTTGCCAATCGCGTAAATTGCTAATCGCGCTACATCGCTTTATATAGACGCGCTGGCGGCAAAATTAATCCGCCGTCTATCTAAAATCGTCGCTCCATCGAGCGCGGCGGAGCAACGCCTTCGCCGCCTATTATTGTACCGCCTGCTGATGATCCGCAATCAGCAGTGGCAATCGTCTAGCGTCTAAGCCCAATGGGTCGTCTCTCCCCGACGACCTTGTCCCGACCATCGCCGGGAATTTTTCACTTTCTACATTCAGGCGGGCCCGGCCCCATTATTGTCCGACGATGACGAGCGCGCCCGGACCTCGCACCTCGGGCACCTCTCCGCGTTTTACTCCGCACCGTGGGAGTTAGGGTGGAACGCCCGGGGAAGATAAACGACATTTTAATCGACTCCAGACACGACCGCCGAGGGACGCGATGTTGACGAATGTTCGCGAGACGACAAAGGACGGAGGCGAGTGTTAAGCCCCGTCTGGACGATCCATAATTCGGAGACAGAATTCTACCCGTGATATCATGGACCGAATTGTAAATACAATTTGTAGAGAGAAGCCGCGCATTATAATTATAACCTCGCATATATCTTCTCCTGAATTTTAATCCCGGATTGAGAAACTTCTTTCAAAATTAATTAAAAAATTTTTGTAAGATAAATATTAACGAGTTTATTAAATGTTTCTCTCGCAACTTCATAATCCGTCATTTTTATTTTTTCTTATATAAAAGATGAATTTAAATTAACTTGAGTTTGGTAATTTAACGGAACATTAAACTTTTTAATTCCGTTCGCGGATTCTAAATCGTCTAAAATGGGCTTTATAGGAGCAACGAGCGTTCGTTCAGACGATCCCGCCATTGAGGACGCGTCAAGTGCATCGGTAATTGCACGCCTGACGTCACTCCATCGCTCCTCTCTATCCCTCTCGCCTTCCACTCTTTCTCGGTTTCCCTCCGATCTATTCGACCGATCCGCACGCTCGGAAGCGCATCACTAACCGACAAATGCGCAGCAGACGGACAGATTGGGATTTATGGCGGTGATGCCACTGCACTGGGAATGACCGCCAAGAGAGGCATCATCGATGGCCACTAATCAGTATCGAAGACGGCATCGACTTTTTTTACATCGAATACCGAGAAAGCCTAAAATCTAACATTAACGGATACATGTGTTTCATACACGCAACAAAAACATTATAGCATTTTATTGAATATAATATAAATTATCAAGTATTAAATGTAATTAAAATAATTATAATTTTTAATAATAAATAATTAGTAAAATGAGAAAACGCCAACTATAATTATATTTATAATTTTTAGTATCTAATTATACAATTATTTAAAAGAATACAAGGTCCTACCCCATTAATGATATTCGTCCTCGAAGCAGCGCTCGATTGACGGTATACGCGGATAATATCGATTCTTTTTCTAACTGTAAGACGGCAAAGCGCCTCGCCACGCCGCGGCCGCACCGGCGATTATTTTTAGGCCAATGCAACGGCCAGCGCGTGCGGCCGATGCGCACGTTATATCGGCCGCCGGGAGTTCGTGGACCGAGAAGGAGCGGGCGTTCGATCAGGAGAGGAGGCCGAGCTGAGCCGAGCCGAGCTGCCGCCGCGCCGATGGAACGGGGCCACCACGTGGCCGCTCCGGTGACCCACAAAATGATTTATGCGGTCGATCCGAGACCGTGGAGAGTCCAAGCGCTGGAATTATTCCACGGGTGCTCGGGGTTCTCGCTCGCTCGCGCGCGCGCGATAATTCGCGATAACGACCCGAGGATCGAAAATAGCAGGCGGATCCCACCTTCTCCGCTGGATACATATCGGATTTAGACTTTCGCACTCCGTTTACCTCGAGATAAAAAAGAAAAGATAAATTATCGAACGAATCGTCGCACACGCGACAACACGTGTCACGGTCGGATTAACGACAGTTATCGTCCTCTCTTTCGAGTCCACTATAGAATCGTACTCGCGCGAATATATGTATTATACTCGATATATACGTATCTCTTAATACTCCGAATTCCGATCGGCGAATCGGCACGCACCTCGCCGTCTATCTCGCGCGCATTTCCGCGAACGTTTTCCCTTGCCGCCCTGATTATGACGGGGAGATCCGGGCGTAACGAGAGGCGGCGCGCGCGACTTCAGGAAGTTTCCTCGGCCGACCCGTCGCGGTCCGATCCGTCGGTCGCGTCGCCGTCATTGTTACGTATACACGCGCGAGCGATGATCTCTCGCAGCGTGCATTCGCTCTCGGCGTGCGTCAGCGATTCGCCGCGCGGAGAGATGAGTTATACATCGAGGTCGTAGCTCTCTCGCTCCTTCATGCGGCTGACTTCTATTTCGAGTGTCGGGTCGTCGTCGCCGTCGTCGTCGTCGCCTGCATGCCGCTCGTCACTCTCATTTATTAAGCACCACGCTGCTGGTTTAATTACGCAACCGGTCGACCGGCCGGCCGGCAAAGCGACGGACGAACGAAGGTCGTCGGCAGTCCGCGAGACTCCGCGAGGAAGTGTGTGCGCGTTGCAGCGCGCGAGATAGAGACTGCATTGCGTGATGCACCGCCCGCGTTAGATGCCATCGTTGCGTCGACTGCACGAGCGTGTACCTATATCGTGTACATACATTGCTCGCAACGTTATTACAGAATTCCGAAAACCTGTTACTTTTTACCGTCACCATTTACGAGGACGTTTCGCCCGTCCTTGGATAAATTTTAATACAAACCGAAAGTTACTTGTGATATATCAGCTGTCGGAAAGTACGATGCATGATTTACGCGTGCGCTCATCGCACAGGTGCGTTAAGTGCGGAATTACGTAATATCCCGATGGGAAGAGAGGGACACGGACGCGACGTTCCTCGCGCGCTCCCGGGAAGTCGCGGGAAAAGTCGCCACGCCGTGGAATCGCATTATATTTCCACGTTGGGAATAACGGCCGCGGCGGCAATGATTCAGTACTATACGTGACCGGAGTCGCCAATTAAATTTC